GTATGCCCCGCCCCCAAGCGCTCCGGTCCCAAACACGCCCGCGGACACGCGGACACTTCTCCAGCCTTGGGCGGAGCCGAACCCCAAGTCCCCGCCCTCTCCGTAGGATCCACCCTATTGGCGTAGACAGTCAGAAACCTCGTCCAATGATAAGGAAGGGGCGGCCGCCATGGCCCTATCCGCTGCGAAAGCACTAAAACGGACGCCACTAACTGGTGGGCGCTGAATCTTGGTCTTTCCGGGTCCTTCCACGCCTAGCCACTGCTTCTGCGGAGCTTGGGCCCGAGGGCGAGCCGGGGAGCACCCTCTAATCGAGTAAGTGTTTGCCGGCTGGAGTGACTGTTGGTGTCGGTCCAGGGGCTGCAGCTGCCCCCTGGACAGAGCTCGGGATGGGCCAGGGGCGTGGGGGGAGGAGCCGAGCACGTGGGTCGCCGGCCTGACTGTGTGTGGCGCGGGTGGGAGCTGGGGTCTTGGACTGAAGGAGCCCGGTTTGTCCGGTCCGGTCGGTTCCGCAGCCGCAGACACGGTGGGGGCGGAGGGAGCTCCGAGTGTCGCTGCTCAATGTCGGACCTGAAGGAGCGCTTTTCTAAACCCTGATGCCGAAGGTACCACCCAGTACCTTCCAGTGGCCGGTCGGCGAGCTCTCGGCGGCGGTTCCCCTGGAGCAGCGTTCTCAACCTGTGGGTCGCGACCCTTTTGGCGGTCGAACGACCCTTTCACAGGGGTCGCCTAAGACCATCCTGCATATCAGATATTTACATTACGATACATAACAGTAGCAATATTACAGTTATGAAGTAGCAACGAAAATAATTTTATGGTTGGGTCACAACATGAGGAACTGTATTTAAAGGGCCAGAAGGTTGAAAACCACTGCTGGAAGTTCAGGTTGTAGTTGGCTGTTGCCCACCGGGCAGTGGAACAGCTGCCGCAGGCTGGGCGCTCCCAGACCCCCAGTGCTGGGCACCGCAGATGCTGACAATCGTGAGGTTCCCCGCTCACCGGCCCCGAGAGGTCGTAGGTAGCACCTTTGCAGACAAGTAAGAGGCCCATCGAGGCTGCCACTGGCCCTGGGTAACGCACGAAGCAGCAAGTAGTGGAGCCCAGGGTTGGACCCACTTTCGGGGTTGCATACCGAGTGCATTAGTGGGAAAGCCGCCTTTTCCACGTCAGTACCTGTGTGTCCAGAATGCCTTGTGCCTCCCTTTACCTAAGAAACCATGATACCCCCTTCCCCTCGATGGGTGTGGGGACATTGTCTTGTAAATCAAACAGCCGGAAGGAAAGAAAGCGTGTGTGACGACTTTCTGGAGAAAACAAAATTCCAAAGCCCCAGACTCTAGTTTTAAATAATGGTGACAATTGTAATTAGGCGTCCTGTGGTCACCAAGCCCAGGCACCAGACCAGCAGGGCCACACTACTTAGGCCTCTACGCCTGTTTCCTCATTTGTAGAGTTAAAAAATATATACACCCACCCAGAGTGGGCACAGCAAGCTCCTTGTAGAGGTCATTTTGTATTCTGCTCCATAAACCGATGGCATCAGCATTTTCCACATTACAGTCCAGTAGTGTCTATAATCTTAATTCTCCTGCTTCTCCTGCTGTTGGATATTTAGGACTTTTTTTCCTCTGAAAGTGGATTTTTATTGGGACCCTTACCAACATAGCTCCACAAAAAGTTCATCCCCCTCCAAATGTGTATCCTTGTTTTTAAATGGTATCATTGTTTCCTTTTATGTATTTATTTTTAAAATCTTTATTGTTGAAAGTATTACATATGTCCCCCTTTTCCCCTCCATTGACCTCTCCTACCCCACCCCCACCTCCACCCCCACCCCAAACTTTCACCACCGTATTCTGTGTCCATGGGTTATGTCTATAGGCATGAGTTCATTGGTTTGATGCCACCCCCGCCTCCCCTGCCTTCCCTCTGAGGTTTGACAGTGTTCGATGCTTCTATGTCTCTAGGTCTATTTTTGTTCATCTGTTTATGTTGTTCATTAAATTATTTAGGATGTTTCTTTACTACTGCTGTAGTAAATCTTTTTCGTTTCTGAGATAGAATTTACTTTTTGTTTTTTTTAAAAATATATTTTATTGATTTTTTTACAGAGAGGAAGGGAGAGGAATAGAGAGTTAGAATCATTGATGAGAAACATCGACCAGCTGCCTCCTGCACACCCCCTACTGGGGATGTGCCCGAAACCAAGGTACATGCCCTTGACTAGAATCGAACCTGGGACCCTTGAGTCCACAGGCTGACGCTCTATCCACTGAGCCAAACCGGTCAGGGCAGAATTTACTTTTTGAAAGTGTACAATTTGTAGTATATTCGAAAGATTGTGTGACCATCACATGATATCTCTTAATTCAGAACATGTTCATCACCCTAAAAAGAAACCGTATGAACCCAGTGCGTCCCAGGCGCGTCCCAGCGGTGTTGCTGGGCTCCAGCCCCAGCCCTGTGCTAGGCAGGGTGTTGGGGCCCTGCTGGCTGGGCTGCCCCACCTGAAGGCTTAGGTGGGGCAGATAGAGCCTCTCGCTCACATTGAATTTCAGCCGTCGGGGAGTTCTGGACCTACCTCTCTGGGCTACAGGGAGGGGACTGAGGCGTGCAGCCAGGAGGGAGGCTGACTGCAACCTCTTGTGGCCTAGCGTGGCCCCCACTCCGCAAGCCTTAAGGTTCCTGGGTCTGGGATTTTTCTGGACCTACAACATACGGATTTTTCAGGCAAGGCCAGAATAGTGTCTTAGGGCAAAGACACCATTTACCTAGAAACCTGTGAAATGCTCAAAACAAAAGCACTGGCACTTTGGAGTGCAGAGCCAAATCTTTGCCAGTCCTGCGCAGAAAACCGCCAGGCTGCGAGACAACGCCAATCTCTGGGTGAATGAGATCCAGGAGCAGGTCTGTACAGAGACCCCAAATTTGAAGCAGGTCCTGAAAAACTGCTCAGGTGTTTTCAACAAGTGAAGGTTGAAACTTCAGGATTATGGAAAAGTGGAGGTGGAAAGACTTGCAGCCAAAAGAGTTGAACTTTTGAAAGCTCATTGGAACCATTGTAAAACTGAAATGGGATGACCGCAGAGCAACATTAGTAGCAAGGAATGGAGAAGCTAAGCAGACAAGTCAGCAAACCGATGGACATGTTTCATGTTACAGAGAGCTACAGTGGATGCTACCCAAACAGCTCTCATCTGGAGGAAACAGTAGGTTTAAAAAGCAGATATAGGATATAAAGAATATATTTTCAAAATTTATCACTACTGAAATGTTATTCACAGCATAACTTTGGAGGTATACTCTGCTGTCTACCAAAATACACAAAAGATTTAGAGGTTTTTCAGAAGCTCTAGGTATCTGCCAGATTATCCATCTTGTTTAGATACTGTAAGAGCAAATTCACAGTTGCCTTTTCAGAGATTGTTGTAAGCTGAGAGGTCTCTGGAGCAGGACAGGTGTCCACCTGTCGACTAAGAAAGGATCAACAAGCAGAAGATGAAGAATTAGATGTTAAAGAAGAAGAAGAAATTAATTTCCCTAAGTACACTTCTTTTTTCCCTTTTCATCTTAAAATAACTCGGAATCCAGGATTACTATATTTAAAACTATACTGGCTTGCTATGTCAAGCCTCAAAATGAAATGGTACTGAAAATAGAGAAAATTAAAGGAAATTTATGCTGACTGAAAAATTAAGGTTTTAAAAATACTACACGCCTAGGCATTTCAAACTCCTACCTAGTAATATGTGATCCTTTTGGATGAGCCCTCACCCCCTTGGATTTCAAGGTACTTCACATTAATGCACTGTAACTGGCTGGAAGTGCTATTATAAGTAGTAAGTAGGCAACAAAATCTAAAAGATCGACCAATTCCACTTAGCTTCTCTGAGGTTGACTCCAGAAAAAGATCTCATCTCGTCATTCTGATTAAATGTAAATTCTATTGCATGAAACTTTAAGTAAAAAGACGTTTTCCATTTTTAAGCTTTTACTGAAACATAAAGTACCATTATTTGATCTGTAAGTTTACCAAACAGAATAAAGGAAATATGATACCAATAGATCTGTGTTTTACAAATGCCTGAAGCATAAATTTTAGTTTAGATAAAAGTCACAATAACCTGATTATGGTTTTAAAACAAAACTGCCGTCATACTAAAGTGTATCTGGCGCTACAGCTTTTAAATATGTATATTTTTATTGGTTTCGAAGAGGGAGAGAGGGATAGAAACATCATTGATGAGAGGGAATCATTGATTGGCTGCTTTCTGCACGTCCCCCACTGGGGATCGAGCCCACAACCCGGGCATATGCCCTTCACCAGAATCAAACCCGGAACCCCTCAGTCCGCAGGCCGATGCTCCATCCACTGAGCCAAACTGGCGAGGGCAGTGCTACAGCTTTTGAAAAGCTAGTAATCTGGTGGAATCTAAGAAAGCATAAGTACACATAGACTATCATAAGTTATTTAAAATTCTATAAAAATTTTATCAAGCTACCACCTAGTTAATAAGGTATAACCTTTCCCTTAGTCTCTTATTCCTGGAAGTATAAAACAATTTAATCAGCACTTATCATCTCATTTGTGATAACTGGGAAGAACAATTCTTCTTAACAGAAAAATGGACTTACAAGAAGCTTTAAAAAAAAAAGAAGACCTTTGTATTAGTTAGTCTCCTTATTCTCTGCCTCCTCTCCCTCCACCCCAGCCCCTATAAAATACTGTGTGTCTGTGTGTCTGTGTCTGGATTTGCCTATTCTGGAGGTTTCATATACGTTGAATCGTTCAATTTTATGTCTGACTTCTTTCACTTAGCATATATTTTCAGGGTTCATCCTTGTTGTGTCATGTACTTCATTCTTTTTATGGTCAAATAACATTCTGTTGTATGGAAATGCCACATTTTTATGCATTCATCAGCTGATGGAAATATGGGCTGTTGCCACTTTTAGGCAATTATGAATAACGCTGCTGTGAATGTTCCTCTCAAAATTTTTGTGTGACCATGTGTTTTCATTTCTGCTGGGTTTTGCTGGCTGATATCATAACTCTACGTTGAACCTTTTGAGGAGCTGCAAAACTTTCTGATGTGGTGTCAGTATTTTAAATTCCCACTAGCAAATCAAGAAATTTGTTATAGATTTGTGAAATGATTGGTTAAGTGCCATACTCATTAAATTTTTCTTTCTTTCTTTGTATTGAAATCACCCCAACTCACAATCGTAGGTTGACACGGAAGTGGTTGAGTAAATGCTGAATTCTGGAATGTAGATCCAGACTTCTGGCACCCTGTTTGACGCTAACAGGCACTCTCAACTCAAAAGTAGAAGTTGGGGCCCAGGCCCGCATGGCTTAGTGGTTGAGCGTTAACCTATGAACCAGGAGGTCACGGTTTGATTCCCAGTCAGGGCATATGCCCAGGTTGCTGGCTCGATCACCAGTAGGGGGGTGGGCAAGAGGCAGCTGATCAATGATTTTCTTTCATCATTGATGTTTCTATCTCTCCCTCTCCCTTCTTCTCTGAAATCAATACATACATACATATATTTTTTTAATTTATTTTTTAAGTATAAGTTGGGAAGTAAAGGCAAATAGACTTCTATTCTTTGGTTACATTCTACCCATTTTTCCCAATTTTGTTATGGCATTTGAATGTGTTTTTTAAATGTATTAGGTAAAATGTCATCAGTGTCGCCAGTAAGTGGAGAGAAAAAAATCACCAGGTGTTAAGAAAGTCTGAAACTTACAGTAGTTGGTCCTTGGACCACAGTTTAGTCTTTTTATAAAATGAATGTGATTCCCATTGCGAAAACTTATGATATTCTGATGATTAAGTGATAGATTCAGGTTATAAAAGATAAGGTTTTTAAAAGCCACTTGAAATAAGTATGGCAATATCAGTGTTATTAAGAAGTGCTTTCATCTCATTCCTTTTTTTTTTTTTTAAAGAAAGCTTGGTCACATCCTTCCTTTTAACTGCTAGTGTGCACTCGAAGCTGAAACACTCCTTAGAAAGCATACTGAGAAGTCATGCACACTAGCCCCTGTTTTTATGTTCACAATTTTCCCTGCTCAATACTAAACTATTCTCTGCAAACGGGATGTGTATAGATTGAAGGAAAAAGTATGTCCTCTGGTATTGTCTGGAAAGAAGCACATTTAAGAGAGATCTCATGTCAGGCTCAAACTATTGTCTTAAAGCAGCGGTTTTCAACGTGTGGGTCGCGATCCCTTTGGCGGTCGAACGACCCTTTCACAGGGGTCGCCTAAGACCATCCTGCATATAAGATATTTACATTATGATTCATAACAGTAGCAACATTACAGTTATGAAGTAGCAACGAAAATAATTTTATGATTGGGTCACAACATGGGGAACTGTACTTAAAGGGCCAGAAGGTTGAGCACCACTGTCTTAAAGTAATTGTGAGTCTGTCAACAGCTCACACAGTGACCCAGGTGACGGAGGTTAGCAGGTTGTCAGGCCAGGTGTCAACTGTGAGGTAGGAGAACTCAGCCAGAAAAGTGGCTTCAGACACATTGGATTTTATCGGTGTCTCTACCTGGAAGGCGGCCTTGTACAGATGAGGCTTAGGGTGGTGGCTTTGATGACAACCAGGTTGGACTTGGTTGTGAGCATGAAGGAACTATCAAGAAATGAACAGAGCCCTGACCGGTTTGGCTCAGTAGATAGAGCATCGGCCTGCGGACGCAAGGGTCCCAGGTTTGATTCCAGTCAAGGGCATCTACCTTGGTTGTGGGCACATCCCCAATGAGGGGTGTGCAGGAGGCAGCTGATCGATGTTTCTCTCTTATCGATGTTTCAAACTCTATTCCTCTCCCTTCCTCTCTGTAAAAAGCATACTGAGAAGTATGCTTTTTAAAGTATATTTTTTAAAAAAGTGAACAGAAAAGTGCATGCAGCCACCACATGTTTGTATGTAATTTTCTTTTTTTCTCATATAGGAGCAGAAATGCATAAAAGCAGCTGGAAAAGTAGAAGACATGGAAGAAGGAGCCAGCGGCAGAACCCTAGACTCAGACAACACAGACCTAACGAGAGGCAAGTGCTGTTCCCCAGTGCCATTCTGGTATTGTCCAGCACCCTCCCGTGCACGTGGGTCCCTGGGCATCTCGTCAAAATGCAGGGTCCGAGGTGGGGCCCAGCGAGAATCTACACTTCTGACAAGCTCCAGGGGAAGTTGCTGCTGCAGGTCAGCCTGCCTGCCACACCTTGAGTAGTGAGGAGATATGGCCACACTCTTCTTTGTTTTCAGAGTGACCATGACTTCTGGCCAGAGCACTAGCCATGAGCTTAGAGTAGACATTATCTGATACTACTGACAGAGGATTGCTTCTCCATTTTATAGACTCCTCCTCTCTTTTCCTGTC